ACACACACACACACACACACACGCAGACACACACACACGCACACACGCACACACGCGCACACACACACACACACACACACACACACACACACACACGCACACACGCAGACACACACGCACACACGCGCACACACACACACACACACACACACACACACACACACGCAGACACACACACACACGCACACACGCACACACACGCACACACACACACACACACACACACACACACACACACGCAGACACACACACACACACGCACACACGCACACACACGCACACACACACACACACGCACACACACACACACACACACACACACACACACACACACACACACCTGTAATTGGTTCTGTAAGTACACCAGAGTTTCCCTTTCCACCCTCTCTCCAATTTTCTGTGCTGTCAGTTTGTGCGGCGACTCTGAAAGAGGACTTGTATCGATGGTGATAGGTTTGTGGCTCCAATCGCACCTTGACTTGTGCTCTGTGAAATCAGCCCCACAATTAAACTTAACACTACCCTTAAGTTTCTCCTGACCCCCTTTTCCTCCCCCTAATCTTCTATTATCTTGCCCCCCCCCTCTCCACTCCTCCTTGTCTTGCACTCTGTGTGTTCGTCATCCCTCCAACAGTGATGGTGCTGCTTGATGATGCACAGCCCTCCAAAAACTCACTGAGTCATTTATAGTTCTCAGTGTTAAACATCTCTCCTCTCCCCCTCCTCTCCGAAATGTTCCATCTCCCGCACAGCGCGCCTTCATTATCTGAGATGCCGAGGCTTCCTGAGCGCCTGGTTGCTCTAAAACTTTTCTGACAAAGCAGTGGGGGAAATTGCATCCCAGTTTTCCATAGAGAATTAATGCGTTTTAAGAAATGTGAATTATTGATCTTAAGTGGATTATTCTGATGTCGGTTTTGTGTGCAGGATGAACGTCTTCTGCGCTACATTTGTGTGTGTGTGTGTGTGTGTGTGTGTGTGTGTGTTGGTTTGGGATTTTGTTGACTGTGTTTGGGTGGGGATGGAGGGGAGTTTGGGTGGGAAGATATGTTTTATGTGAGGCTCTGCTGTGTTGGGATAAGTGAGCATTTTGCCGTTTGGAGGGATTTTGTGGGACTGAAGCAACCGCTGAATCTCCTCTCTTGTTGCGAGCGACCGTCTGGCGGGAGGAGTAAAAGGCACACTATCAACATGTTTAGAAGTCAATGGAGTCTCTAATGAAGTCAACCCCCCCCCACACACACACACACACACACACACACACTTTTTTTTCCCTCCTCCATGCATTATGTATCTTAATCTGATCTGAAGGCTTCTCTCTTAATGTTCCTTCAACCAAAGATGAAGCCTCTGAGTGTGAAATTTAGCTGGAATTAAAGTTTTAACATGACAGCTGGCTCAGGGAATCCGTGGCTCAGCTCCTCTTTGGGGCAGCAAAGCAGCTAAAGAGAGGATGAAGAGAGGGTGCAGGGAAAGAACAGGAAGGAAGGAAGCAAGGAGGGTTGTGATTATCGAAAGAGTGTGCGAGGGAGGAAGAGAAGAGGACAGACTGCAGGTTTTCTTCATGACTGCTACACTGAGAATCTTATCTGCTGCCACAGCCTCCTACCGCTACACATTTCTGCATGTTTTCTCTGTTCTGCCTCATGTTTGCTGCTGTTTCTTACTGGGGGGGGGGGGAAGCTTTCTGTTTAGCTCTCCTCCTCGCTCTGTGTTATCAGGCTTACCGGGCTCTGGTTCTGGGGTTTCTTAATAGTCACTGAAACAGTCACTGCTGCTGCACCAAATGATGCTGCTAATTCCAGCTGGTAATGTAGATTTTCAGCTGAAATCGTAATCTCTTCATAGCGTAAAAGGATTGAGAATGCTGTCTTCAACCTAAATAAATTACTTTGAAGAGAGGGCATGTCCCTGGCTTTAACTCGCATACCTGCAGTGTGTTATATAGAGAACAGAGATTAGTGTGTAGAAGAATGACACACTGGCTTTCTTCAAGGCCCCCGGGAGGCTCTGGGTATCTGCTCAGCGGTGGAGTAAAGTCCTGCATCTCTGTATGTGTGTGTCTTCTTTCACACTGAGCCCTGTCTGTTATTTACTTAGCAGTGCTGTTGAATGTTGACTCCAGGAGCAGGGGTTTTTTTTCCAGATAATTGGCTCCTCCTTGCAAAAGTCTGTAGCTGACCACTACTCCCTCTAGATTTGGTGTCCCATTGAGCCCCCGGGTTCTCAGCACATACGGTAACACGTAACACGTAATCTCATGTTGTCCTACCATGTGGATCGCTGCTGGTGTATGTGTGTCTTCATTTCTCTTAGTGGTTACCAATGCATTGCAAAAAAAGATGCGTTTCCATGATTTTTTTTTTCCTCCCATGTGTTTCTTTGTTGCATGTGTGTCTCTCTTCTTTCATCATAAAAGCACCTTTTTGTAACCTTTGACTGCAAAGTGACATCATACTTGCCTTACACAATAAAATATATTTCTCAGACTTAAATCAAAATGTATTCTTCTTTAATGCAATGCTCTGCTGCAGCCTAATGAGTGTAGGTATGACCAGTAGATACATGACGCAACACTTCATCTAGCTACAGGATATTAAGAGACTCTGTTTTTTTTTTACTTTCTAGTCTACTTGTTCTCTACTTATGTTGCGTCACATAAAATATACTCTAAATTAAAAATGCACCATATCCGAAAAAAAAAAAATAGCCTACAACATTGTTCACTTTTGCAATACCGAAGTGTGATTAATAAACATAAATTAAAGAGTGAATGTTAGTTATACCTTGATTTCTATGTCTATCTGCTGCCCTTGTTTTTACACAATAACTGTGTTTGCAACATTTCCCTCCTGAATCCAAAATAAAACAGCAAAAAAATTTTTTACCACTTCATTGTCACCAATTAATCTGAGGGGAGCTGATGAGCTCCATCTGAACATATCAAAATGTCATTATACCCAGGCATCAATCCAGTAAGTAAAAGTATGCATTCTGAGTATGAAAGCGGTGCTTATTCATATTAAATCATTCATTGCTATAAATCCAGACTTTTGCGATGTGTCTATTACAAGTGCTCATATAACAATATGGATGAAATTAAAATGAATTGCCCTGCTCCAAATTCTGCATTCATTGACTTCTCCTACTCTTCTCTTTTGCCCACATTTGATGTTCTGAACCTGTGTCAGCTTCCTGTTTTGTACCATGTGCTGGACAGTTACCTCATGTTGCATTTAGGCGATCTCACAGCCCACATTTAAGAAGTGGAAGTAGCCACTGTGAAATCACCCACTGGTTAATGCTCTATTTTCTTTTTACTTTCAAAATCCTGGTTTCAGTGTTTTCCACCTCTGGTTCTTGGAACCACAAGAAGAGATGATAGAAAAGCATTACTACACCTCTATCCTGCTGCCGCGGTAGGGACTTGTCAAATGCAAGATTTCCCTAAAGTCTACCCGGCTTCGTCCTCTCCTTATGAAAATGAAGGCATCATTTACAAAATGAAAGTCATTACATTTTGAAGAAGACCAAAATTTGAGGAAATGAATAAAGTTGCAAGTAGGGGAGTTTTTCTGACTCAAATTAAATCCAACTCCATCTTGCAATAAATGAGTGTCTCACTGCTGGCCACATGGGGTTTAAGGCTCTTGTGTGTAAATTCTTCTTTGAGACCAAAAATATATATAACTATATTCTTATCATAGTCAATGGTCTGTCCTCGTGAACTCACAAAGACTATTTTTTAAACTCACCAAATTTATATTGCAGGTACTTCCTCTCATCGGTCACAGGCAATCCATCATTTGAAACTGGACCAATGAAAATGTCACAGCAGAATGTGAATAATGGAAGTCAGACATAAATCTACTGTTTGTTCTTGTTAGCTGCCTGGACATGTTGTGAATCACCGGGAATTAAATGGAAGCGAGGTCAAGTCAGTTTTATTTATTCCGCCCAAAAATACAATCTGTAGAGCAACGTCTGTCCTTACACCCTTGATCAAGTCGAATCAGCTCAAATATGGAGGTAAATCAAATAATATGAAACATGAGTTCATGCAAAATAATCTCTGCATCTTACCACTTGTCTTCTGACTGGCCAGTTCTGTTTGTCTCATATCCTCAGGAAGTCTCTTAAATGTCACGCGTCCAGGACTGAAATGTACATTGTTTCAATGTCTTTGTTCTTTTTTCACATAATGCATTGTTTTTTTCTCTTTGGCAGAGCCTAATTTTATCAGTGTCCTTGTGTTTAAAAGCTACGTACACCATTAGCATGTTATAATATTGGCTAGTTTCCCATCATGTGTTCATGTGAAACATCCTAACTTGTACTGGTGACGATAGAATTCAGCCATGTGGTGTTTTACAAAAAGTAAGCTTTAGTTTGAGGCGAGCTTTCTGGTGATAAACTTTTAAAGTTGACTATGGCTGCAAAAAGTTCCCTGAGCTAATAATGGTAACTTAGATTTACTTTTTTTTTTTCAGACCAAAAACCCAAAGACATGTAATTTATTATGGAGAAAAAGGATTAAAAAAAAAGGAACCAATGATTTGTCTTATTTGCTTGTACGTACCTTTTTTTATCATTGAACTTTGAACGTTCAAGCTCAAAACCTTTTGAACAAATGGTACAGCAGCAGCTGAAATAATAGCTTTACAGTGTTTGACAAATAAAACATAAAACCACTCATGTAAAAAAAAACATAGTAAAGGAGTAAAGGTAATCATATGACACAGGCGTGGTTAGAAATGTGCTGATGATATTTTAAAAAAGTTCTGCAATGGAAAGGCAATATGGTGGAAAGAGAATATATGACAGTCTTGGTCTATGTTAGAAATCACTGACATGTTCAGAAGTGAGCGATTGGTTCCCCCTTGCCTTCGTTCCTAGGCTTCATCCTTGACTGAGCCAGCCCTTTAGTCTGAGCACAGTTTATTTCTTTCGTTGTCTTCCTCTCAGAAACACTCTCCTCTCTCTGTTTGTCTCCTCGGCAGGCGTTCATGGAGGATGTGAAGTCTCGAGGGCCGTTCATCTACTCAGTCTTGGAGTCAGCCCAGGCCTTTCTGGCTCAGCACCCCTTCCAGGAACCAGAGGAGACCCTGACCGATGGAAAAGGTCTGTTCCCTTCTTACTTTGAGCCAACTGCTGTGCCAGCCAAAATATCATCGTAACATGCTCTCTCAGCTCAGCCCCATAGCAGCAGCCATGCAGGGGAAACCTTCCATTAGTGGCTATTAGCTGTGAGCAGTGTGCTGATGTCACACTGAGTCTGTGAGCTGAGACTAGTTAGCTCTACCTCACTGTACCATCTCATCAGATCAGTAATACAGCAAACTTTTTTTTTTTTTCCGCCTTGTGATATTTGGCACACTCACCTGGAGAACGCTGTACACTTCTCGCCCCCTGCTCCCCCCCTTTACTTCATAACTTCACTTCTGCTCCATTTTTCATGCACGTTTATCCTTCTTATCCCTTTATGGCACGGCCTCACCTCCCCCTCTGCAGAGGTGTCTCCAAGTCGGAGGATCTTAAATGTGAGCCGCTCGGTGTGGAAGCAGGCAAACGTGGCCAGTGACCTGTGGGAAAAGCTGACAGCACGCTGTGTGGACCGCCACAGGTCAGCAACTTTTTATTTAACATTGGGTTCAACTTGTACAGTAAAAGTCTGGAAATGGGTCCTTTTTGAGTGGAATTTTGAGACACCTATAATTTTCTAGATGGCACTTTATACTTATAGTCCACTATAGGTCAGGGAAATATATTGTTCATTTATCTCTCTTACAGTGCCATGAAAGCTATAGAAGCAAGTTGGTTAAACAACACATTGTAAAATATTAAAACAATTTTTTGATTTGTTAACCGTCACAGAAGAGCTTCTAGCTGAGGTCATTTGCCACATCTTAGATACCCATGTCTGTGTTCCACCAAGAGGTGTTTCATCCTTGTATTATTTGATTAAAAAATACTGTAAGTCTCCGGGGTTTCAAATCAAAAGATGGGAATCAATATATCTTTGTAGCAGAACTTTTCATTTTCTTACATTTTCATTTATTGTCACCTCTGGCCTCCGCTCAATATTCAAACAACTGAACTTTATTTAAAGTTGTTAAATGTAGCTCCACCACGCTTAGCTACAGGAATATGCTGTACATGCACTGATGTATCAGCATTAACATTAATGTCAAATCTAATGGTCTATTGGTTAAATGCCCTAATAACTGACAACAGAAAACTTTGACAAGCATGGGCACTTTTATTCATTCCCTGCTTTGGGATAAATAAATTTCTTCCTTTCTTTTCTAAATATATTTAAATCAATCAATACCAGATTGATGCTGTGTGTGTGTGTTCGGAATGTAAAGTAGGGAGAGGTTGCTTTTCACGATAGGTGAAAAAGTCAAGTTAGTAAATAATTGAAGGATAATTCAAAAATAATTTTTATCATACAACTTTTCCTCGTTTTACTAAAAGGCCACAAGGACTTTAATTTCTCACAGTGAATGTTTGTGTGGTGATCCATATCAAGGTTATTCAGCAATACATTCAAAGTAACACAATTACCATAACCTAATTACAAAATGTGGCATATCCATTTTAGAAAACACATTTATCAAGTTCTGGATGGCTAAAAATTCCGAGCTTACTTTTCAGAATATTAGAACATGTTTTTGTAGAAAAATGCATTTAGATGGAGAAATGAATGATGGTATGAAATCCTTTTAATACAGCCCTGCAGAATATGACAGGCTGTACATTTGAATAGATGATGTGGTTGACCGCATGCTCTTTGGTTTCATAATTATTTTTTTTTAGGACATTTCTTGCATTTCTTGCTTTGTTTCAAACTTTAATGTTGCATTTAGTTGACATTTATGAACTATATTTCAACCTCAGACACATGGAGCGGACATTAGAGCGTCTACTTCAGATCCAGGCGGCGATGGAGGAGCTGGCTGTGGCCTTGGAGCAGGCGGAGGGGGTGCGAGACGCCTGGGAGCCTGTGGGAGACCTCTTCATCGACTCTCTGCAGGACCACATAGACGCCACCAAGGTAGATATACCCAGAGAGCACACATACAAGCTTTTCTATCTCTTACACATACTCACACAGGCTTGTAAATGCAGACACATTATAATGATGAGTCCCAGATATAAATTACTTTCACCTGCGGAGCAACTTAATTGTCCCCTTTGAGATAATCGCCTCTGGCTCATCTAGGAAAGCACTGATTGCAACAGGTCGTAAACAAACATCAAAACAGAAACATCTTGCTTTTTTTTTTTTTTTTTTTCCATCTCAAAAACACAGCAGAGAAATGTTGCTCATGAATAAGTTAGAGATGTGTACCAGCCTTTAAATCATGTGTTGTTTGTTGCCTGTGTAAACATCCCTGTCAGAGGAGCCGTGATCTGACAGACGATGACAAGGACACCGCACTTCAAACTGACGCACTGGCTGCATGGCCAGGGCTACAATCCTCCGCTGAATAGATGTTGTTAACGAATGACAGGTCATTGGTTTAGTCATTATGTGAGTGCCGAGTGCCGCTGCTGCCTGTAATTGTGCGGCACAATTCATTAGAAGTGAGGGCACTTCACAACAATCATGTCACTGTTTGGACTCCTGTCACAGCCAGCACATGTTCAGCTGGGTCTCTAGGGCAGGCCTGTCACTTGGCCTCATGTGTACTCCCTCACTCATTTACATTCACACTCAGACACATGAATGCATGCATGCAAATAGGACGCATCATAAAACCACGCTATGCATACACATGCATAGAGGTGCAACGAGGGCTGATTATAAATTGAACTAATCAACTGAACACTCTGTCTATAGATTCTTTACAACGTTACAACCCCTCTCTTAAACTGAAAGATTTGACTTGACGTTAGATGGGGCGGCTGTGGCTCAGTTGTTAAGAGTCATTCGTCTCTGAACCGGAAGGTTGGGGGTTCAATCCCCAGCTCCTGTAGCAACATGTCCAATTGGCAAGACACTTAACCCCAAGTGGCTCCCGCTGCTTCGTCAGAGGCCTATGAATGTGTATGAATGGAAATGAATGGGATTAGTTTCTTCTGATGGTAACTTTACATAGAGTGACATGTGGTGTAAAAGTGTTTTCAGTAGTCAGAAGACAAGAAAAGACCGATACAAGCTCAAGTTCATCAAGAATGAGAAAAGCAACAAATCCTGCCATTTCAGATATAGAACTCATCCTTTAATTTAATCTAATCATTGATTGGAAAAACTTTTCAAACACAATGGTGCCTGTGTATTTACTGTTGTTTGACTAATCTATGAGTCAATAATCTATTGATTATTTCAGCTCTACATTTATAAAGATGTATTTCATACACTCCTGCCTTTATTTCTCTGTTTAACAGTTCTCCTGCTGGCGTCTATTCACAGATGGCATATTTGCAGTTATCAGAGATCAATTTCAGGGTATTAAAAGAAGCCATTTTAATAAATATCATATCACAGTCTGCTTAAGGATTTGAGAATTGTAGAATATGAGGATCGGCTTCCACATGGTCACAAATTGCTCATGCTACAGGACATCCATCCGTTATTGTAGACAGAAGACCTCAATTTGATGTCTACAACATTTGAACTTTATTTAATAAATGTTTTCACATTAATTAACATAGCATCACTATGGAGGAATGCAGAGAAGTATCTCTAAAAAACATGTGACTCTGTCAGACATGAATCAGTCACAGCTAACAAATCCTGAAATGTTGCGTTGCAGCTTTGACTTCCAGTTTTCTTGTCTTTACTGTAAACTGTCAAATGAAGACACCAGTGCTCAGAGAATAAACGGCACACACTCGTGTTTTCTTGTCAGACATGTCTTCTTATCTATTTTGAGTGTCTTTGTTTCCTATTCTTTAGATGTAAGTTTTTAGTTAGGTTCCACACTGTGAGGTTGGTAAAAAGTTTTAAAACATCCACAGCGTAAGTTTTCAAAGACTTCAATTTTTGCTAAAATTGATTTCATATATTTTACAGAGAAGAATGAAAAGAAATCAGTTGATATGCACACAGAAACACAAACTTGTTTTTGACAGGGGATGTAAAAGAATAACAACATACACATGGGTGTCATGATATGCTGTTTTGTGAAACTGTATCAATATTCGACTGCTTTGTTTTCCATCCACCTCTCTGCTTCTCTCTGCTTCTCCTGCAGCTTTTTAAGGAGGAGCTGACGCAGGTGAAGGAGGGCATGAAGCACGTCAATGATCTGGCCCACCAGCTGGCTATCGCTGATGTCCATTTGTCGATGGAGAACGCCCGCGCCCTAGAGCATCTCAACAGCAGATGGAAAGTGCTTCAGGTAAAGTTCACTGCTGGGTCCACGTTGTCTGTCTGACATTGTCTGCAGCATCACAACCAACCAATCCACGTTCTGACCTAGTGCAGGCTGAGAGCATATATGCTCAATTGGTGCCACACTAGACTTCAGACAACCTTGTTTTTTTAGAGTGAAAAGGAAAGTGTCAGTTTTAGGACAAAAGTCAGCAAATATCCAGGAAGGGAAGAAGCAGCATTTTGAACTTTATTGGATTTTCCCTCACCTTTAAGATCCACACGATGCAATGTTGGTCATGTGGTTATTTAATATAATTTGTATCATCCAAATTCAATTCAATTAAAAAAAATAATAAAATCAATCAAGCTGTAGTCAGTGGGGGGAACTTTAAAAAAAAGGGGGATCCCCATCAATGAGGAAGTTCTAACTGTACAGTAGTTCCATGTCAATAAATCTTGTACATTTCACCTTTTTAAGAGGAGGCTGTACGCGTTTAAATAAAAACCTTGGGGCTTTTTTCCTCTATCATTAATAAAATTAATCTATGAGCAACACATCTTTCAGGTTAATCAATCTAATAGACTTCTGTTCAGTCGGTTTAATGAGAAGCTGTTTACTGTGAAATGTCTGGAGCAGTTTTGGGCTTTTGTTAATGAGTTAGACACCAAATTAATAAAGACTCATTGAACTAATATGGGCCCTCTTCTTGGACCACCTGTTGTTTTTAAGCAGCACTTCATTTCTGTTTTGAGTGGAGCTCAGTATCTTTTTAATGAACATGTGTTAAAGAGCAAGGAAACCATGTCTATGGTGTTCATTAGTTATGGAGTGTAATGAACTACATGTTGTACAGATAAGGATTTCTATATCTTGATGCATCATGTATTGAGACTAAAAATGTGAAATGCAGTCGAAAGAATGAATGAATGATTGAAAGGAACAAATCAGGATGAAAACGTATGCACTCACACGGATGGGGTAATAGTTCATTGAATCTTAATCACTTCCTCTCCAGGGCTTTAAAAAATAACATGAAAAAAAGTGCTTTGGATTCAATGAACTGTATTTGTCCTCCCCTGGATGCTTAGCTGAATGTATGGATGCATTATCAAGGGAAGCATTGCTGTAACTCTACAGCACACAACTCTCAACCTTTAGGCTGCATTCCTCCATCAGCGACCTCTGCAGTGCTCCTCCAAGCACAACAAGACTCATTCAGCTTTCTCTGCACCCCATGTGAGAACACCCTGTTCCCACTTAGATAGCCTGTCATTTTGGCTTTGTCACGATGTATTAAAAGCCACTCTAGCCTCACCTCACCTCCTATCTGTGTCCCTGTCCTCCTCTGATGAGGATTTTAACATCTCTTCAGCATTTCGGGGAAATTAATTTCCAGTATCCACTTCACACAGTCCCGACTGACATGACTCTTTTAAGTCGCCTCTTTGGCCTTGAAATACTCCTGAAACTGCTCGTGAGGGAAAAAAATTAAAATGTTATTCAAACTGTTGCGTTTGGTTTCAGGAACTATTATTTTTTTATCTGCTCCGAGTGAAGCAATTCAAGTCGATAGCCTCAACTTTGTCCCCCAAGTTGCAGGAAACAAACACAGCGACACAGAGTAACAACCAGACTTAGTAGCTTTTCATTGAAGGTTGAGTTAGTTTCCTTTTGATGAGAGTGAAGGTCTTAGCTTTGACCTTTCAACCACTTATGCACAGAATGAAAATCCCAGCAAATATTGGATAGATGCCTTTGACTTTTTGAACAGACATTCATGCTCCCCAGCTGCCATCTATTCACTGCATTTACTTTACATCTCCATGATGAGCAGCATTGTTTACAAGTAAAGCCAACAATGCTACAATTGAATATACTGCTTAAATAGGCTTTCAGAGAGAATGGCTTCCTGCTGTACAAATATAGGTACAACATTAAAGCATATTTCAAAATTCCATATACAACTCACTCAGTTGTTTTCTGGATAATTACATAACAACGTGTCTAACTTGTGAACACACAGAACTATTTACCTGGGTGTTAGCCAAACGTCCTGTGTGCAGGGGAACGTGATGAAGCACCAGTTATTCTCTGGTGTCTATCTCAGATCAAACTCACAATAATCTTGTGTCTCCCTTGCACAAAACCCACCCAGGCCAGACTGTAAATCAGCGGATCTGTAGGCCGCTAAAAGTGACAAAGCTGCACCCAGATTTGATCAAAAAAATGTCAAAAAACCCCTGAGTTTGAGGAGATTCTGGTGATTCCCCCTGTCCTACCTACTTATGTGTCTGTAAAGGATGTCACTCGATTTGTGGTGCATTCAAGCACACCTAAATTAGTTTGTTTTAGTGAACACTCTCAAGAAAGAGCCTGCAACAGTTACAGAACCCAAAATAGTTTTTTTTTTAATCTGAGAGGGAACGCCGTTCTGCTCTACTTTTGCTCCCAGAACGGCGTTCCGGTGTGTTCCGCCCCATTTCCACCCCTGGTAGTATGTGAGATACTGTATAGTATTAGTGTGGGTTTATGATAGAGCTTGTGTCTTGTGAAATGACACTTCTAATAGTTTCTGGTATTATTTTCTTCTTCTTTTTGACCTTTATTTTATCACGCAGGCCCCAAATGAGTTCAAAAAAACTATTTTGCAAAAGAGACCTGGCCAAGGTGGCAGCAGCATATCTACAGTATGTTGGTCCATTATTGGGACACTTGCTTGAACAGTCAAATAAAGTTGAAGTGCTCTTTATCCAACAGCCACTGAGGTACTTCATATCGTATATAAATGCTGCAACAGTGCCTGGAAGGAAAGCTTTTTGTCTTATGTGTGGGATGAACTGCATACAAATAAGAACACCTGTCAGTCTAATTTTCTATCACCATCAGGAGCCCACTTCTTTCTGTTTGAATTACAGTTTTTCGTTCATGGAGGTCACAATGCATTGAAAGTTTAAACGATTGCTAGAAGCATTCAGTTGTGCATAAAATCAGAGGAGAACATTTTCCGGAGCCTGAAATATCAAGGAGACATCTTCCTCAGATTGTCACCACAGTTTGTGTGTTTTGGGACAGGATTGCTGTGGGAAGAGAAGCACAGAAAGAAAAGAAATTGGGACCCTTCTTGCCCCTCATTGACACACGATTGCGTTGGAGTTACAAAGAGCCAGCATGAAAAAAAGTTCTTTTACAGGACAATTTCTGCTAAATCTTTCATGCACTCTGCTACAGTAGGTAGTGTGTCCTCTGGTCTTTGAGTCAGGAAGAAAGTAAGGGCCTTGTAATCCTCCCTGGTGATAAAGCTTGTTAAAAAGGCTTTTAGTATCCGGAGTACCCAGCAGGTTTTCATCTCGGCTATCTTGGATTGTCTCTGACTTCCTCTATGATATTACCACAGCCCAAAATGACATAGAGACAGGTGTTGCATATAGTTTTAGATTAAAAAAAATACTCTGATGAGTATCTTTGAGATGCCTTTTATGAAGCCCCTTTAGGTCTGATATCTCTGCTCAGCTAATTTCAATGCAGTTAGATGTACTCACCTGATGCCTAGCTATTTTAAAGCAAACCAAATAGAGAAACCTTTCTTTTTTTTTGTTTCCCTCACTGTGTCCCATTTCTCTCTTAATTAAAATTCTAGATGCTCAATACCAGCAACATCGTGTGCCTGTTCATTTTGGCTTCTGTGATGCCAGCAAAAAATGTATTTCCAAATTTAATTAGCTAATATTTGTCGATCTGAGATAATTTAGTCATTTGTCTTCCTTATGGAAGCCCAAATTGCCTGTACTACAATTAGATTGCAGAGCGGCACACAGTTGGCAGTAACAGATCCACAGCACGTTGACAATAAGTTACAGCCAATTTGAGTCACAGTCCAGATTCTATTGTTTTTATTCTCTGCAGAGAAATGCTATTCAATATATCTAACTTTACACTTAGACTCATTGCCTGCACTTCACTTTGAAGTTTAAAAGCTCCTCACATTTTCATCTGTCTCTTCTTGTCTTGATCTGTCTCTCTCCCTCAGCGCGAGTGGATTTACCTCCCATTGTTTGAGGACGTGTTTCAAACATCCAGCTGACACTGATTCATGTGTCATATCCAATACATTTCAAATAAACCAGGATTAGGCTGGCTAAATCCCATTTGTGGGAAACATAACTGATGTTGAGAGGCTTTTACAAAAGGCAATGGCAAACTTAATTTCACAAATATTCACGCAACACATTTCATCTTCTTTTTTTCCTCCAGCTCTCCTCCACACTGACATTGCAACCAGGAACCATTGTCCTCATTTCAACAAAGTATATAATTTCCTAATCTCTATCTTCATTTAATACCTGCCTCTTCAAAGGCTTTCAAAGCCTTCAAGAGGGGCAGCAGAGGGAAAAAGGCATAATTTATATTCTGTAGTTAACTAATGGAAGAGAAGCAGGTGGTTTGGGTGCATGCATTTCTATTTTAGGGGATTTGTGGTGGAGAGGGATGGACAGCATGATTCCCTTTGATTTAACTCTGCTTGTTGTGTGTGTGGTGTGTGTGTGTGTGTGTGTGTGTGTGTGTGTGTGTGTGTGTGTGTGTGTGTGTGTGTGTGTGTGTGTGTGTGTGTGTGTGTGTGTGTGTGTTGTGCCCTTTTAGCCCTGGTGATTGCATCATGTGTTAGCATCAAGCTAACAGACTAAAATGTACTCCCGGTCCATGAGGCAATGACTTTTAAGCAATAATTCAAAATGTATTTGAATTATTGTCCAGAGACAACCAGCTGTTCACTTTGAAAGAAAAAGTCATCACTGAGGCTGTCAGGGTGAGAATGCCTGTCTTCCTTGTTGTCATTTTATTCCCAGGTCAAATGATTTTCTCCAGCTGTGCTGCATGAGTCTGGGGCAACTATATTCAGAACGATTATGATCTGTCTATCTGTATGTATCTGTCTGCTGCATCTGTCTGTTTGCCTTCTGAAATCGTTTATGAGAAACTCTGAAGATGTGTTGTGCACTCAGGGTAAAATAAGGGGAATTCATTTT